AAATTTTTAATGCTGATTATGACATAAAAATTGAATCTTTAATTATAATTGGTGTTTGTTGTTTTTTTTATTTTCTTGAAGGTTGCTGTTGCGCATACAATTGGGCATGTAGCGGCGACGGTGAGTATGTCGAAGGTGGCGGTTTCGTTCACACACATAATCAAGAGCAGTGAGCCTGCTTTCAGCGTCTTGGTTTCGAGATTCATCCTCGGCGAGTCGTTCCCGCCCGGGGTTTACTTGTCCCTTCTCCCGATCATCGGTGGCTGCGGTTTGGCCGCTCTTACCGAGCTCAACTTCAACATGACTGGTAAGAAACTGGCACCAATTCACACACACACACACCCACATGGATGTGTGTGTGTGTGTGCTTTTTTTTTTCTGCGATTACGACGTGTATCTTTACCGTTTGTTAGCTCGGGGTAAAGATGTACCCTACATTCACACACGCACACACAGGCGCACCCACATTGATGTGTGTCTTTTTTCTGCACGTTTATCTTTACTGTTTATTAGCTTCGGATAAAGATGTACCCTCCATTCACACACACGCACCCACATTGACGTCTGTTTTTTTTTTCTGCGATTACGATGTTTTATCTTTACTGTTTATTAGCTGAAGGTAAAGATATACCCGACATTCACACACACAAACACACACACACACACTCACATCCATGTGGGTGTGTGTGGTTTCGTGTGTGGACGAACAGTATAGTAGAGCACGGGGGAATTGTGATGCCATGGCAGAATAAATCTATCACATTCTCTCTGTTTGTATAATCATCACGTGGTTATGTGTGAGGAATGAATATCCTGCTAGCGGTTTCTTTTTAATAAGTATCTTCATTGAAGTCGCATGATTTCCTTCATCGAGCAAGTAGATAACCGGGTTTTTGTATCTTTAGTTGTTCGATAATAGTGTTGAATAATAGGGTTCTTGAATGGAAATACAGGTCATTTTCTTGAATGGAAATCGGGTTTTTGTACCTTTTGTTCGATAATAGGATTCTTGAATGGAAATAATAGGGTTCTTGAATGAATAGCCAGCTAGCAGTTTCTCTTTAATTACTATCTTCATTACTATCACATGATTTCTTTATCGAGCAATTAGATGGCCGGTTTTGTACTTTTTTACCTTTAGTTGTTCGATAGTAGTGTTGAGTAATAGGGTTCTTGAAATGGAAATACATGTCGTTTTCCGATTCCGTAACACGTGGTTGTTTCTTGACTGTCGACATCAGGTTTTATGGGGGCCATGATCTCGAACTTGGCGTTTGTTTTCCGGAATATATTTTCCAAGAAGGGCATGAAGGGAAAATCCGTTAGCGGAATGAACTACTACGCGTGCTTATCGATCATGTCTCTCCTACTCCTCACCCCATTTGCTATTGCTGTGGAGGGACCACAGATGTGGGCTGCTGGGTATAAAGAAGCCATGTCCCTAATCGGACCCCAGATTGTCTGGTAAATTACGAAACTGCCACTCTGATTTCTTTTTTATTTTTCGTTTTCTTTTATTTGGCTTGTATAGTAGTTTTCTTATAGATAGATGCTAAGAGAGTGCAAGGTTATAATGGTATTTATCTTCTCTTTCGTTGTGTTGTTTGGTTCTCAAGATAATATTATCCAATATAGGATTATGCAATATTATGAGAATGCAATTGCACAACAATAGCCATGATTAATTAAATAATTGGACGATATTTGGATTTTGGTTAGTACAACAACTTTTTGGGTTGGCCCGAAATTGTGGAATAAATGGCTCTAATCTTGGCTGATTGGGAGATTATTTATCTTGGAAACCAAACGAGTCCTAATTGGACTATGGGATTCGGAGATCCAATACAAAATCTTCTGATAAGCCAAGATAAGAGCTTATATTTTTTCCATAATTGTTGACCGACCCGAAAAGTTATTGCACGAACCAAACACCAAACAAGACCTAATTATTTGATTAAAACGAGGTCGAAGCCTAGATTCACTAGATACAAGATTATAAACTTAAAAGAACATTGGTTGATGTTGTATTATATCAAGATTTGATTTTTATTTCGATTATTGCCTGTTTAGGTGGATGGCTGCGCAGAGTGTGTTTTACCATCTCTATAACCAGGTGTCGTACATGTCGTTGGACGAGATTTCTCCGTTGACTTTCAGCGTGGGTAACACTATGAAACGTGTTTCAGTCATAGTCTCGTCTATCATTATTTTCCGGACACCTGTACAACCAGTCAATGCTCTCGGAGCTGCAATCGCAGTTCTCGGAACTTTCTTGTACTCTCAGGTAATTTTACCTTTTACGATATTATTTATTTTCTTGTCCTATGATATCTCCGGCCGGGAAATTGCATGTTTATACCCAAACGAATCATTTTTGCCATAAGCAATATTACATTAATTGCACATTTGTGGAAAACGATACTCGTTACTAGTGGATTACTATAAATGTTCGATAACTTCTAATCGATTGTGCCCGAAAAGGTATGAGATTAATTTCGGATCTTTGGTTAGATCTCCTTAATCGGGTTCATCTATTTTAATCATGTCGATCAATCTTGATCCGTAATTCCAAAAACGGCAATGCCTATCGTTGATCTTAATGATTTTTTTTTTTTTACTTTAAATCAATATGCATGTCATATAAATTAAATGTGAGGAACTTGCTGAGTTTTCGTTGTGTTGTATTACAGGCCAAGCAATGAAGATTCCTGGAAGTAAGGAATCGTGCCTGGAAAGAAGACGCGTATTTGGATCGACAACTATGAAGATTTATACGCTTACACCGTGTAGTTGCGGCGTTTTACTTGTAGATAGCAATAATCGAGTTAGTAAAAAAACGTATTTTTAATTTTTTTTTAATATAAACCCTGGTTCTTGTTTCGTACCTTGGAAGGTCGAGAAGAATTGAGAAACTGTACCAATAAAGTGAACTGGGGAATTTAATTCATTGCTAAATGAACAAAATCACACAAACTTAACAAATTCGTTACTATTAATTCGGAATCATCGATTTCGAACCGTTCAATCCAAACGCAACTGTAGTTTCAAAGAAAATTAAATAAAAAAAAAACAATCTTTAACAAGAAGCTAACCAAAACCCCCTTATTAGCTTTCCTGGGGAATTTATTTTTAGTTATAAAATTACGATGACGACACCTATCATACAACTAAAAAGGATCTTCTCAACCAGGGAACAATACTCGACTAATTATTCACCTTAAAAAAAGAAATCAAATTCAAATAAAGTTGATAAGCACTGTTTTGCAGAACGGTACCCTTTCAAAGCTTTAAATATTTGATGGCTGTGTGAACGTCTTTATCTCCTCTGCCACTGCAGTTCAAAACAACTTTAGTCCCGTCTGCAAGAGTCGGACATAGCTTCTCTAGATAAGCTAACGCGTGGGATGTCTCGAGTGCTGGAATAATTCCCTCGAGCTTCGATAATCTCTTGAAAGCTGCACATATGGGTAATGTATAAATAAACTAATGAAATGAAATATATATATAAGCGTGAATAAGAACAAACGTAATAGCAAAGAGCAATTCACATAAGAGACGCATAATACAATAAAGCAGCTCCATTTTCTTAGGAATGTAGTCATAATCGGGATTTAAGGTTAAATTCGGAAGGACGCTGTGAAAATTGCAGCCAAATGTTCGCGGCCTGTGCTTGGTTCAGTCTTTCCTCAAATTTCAATGTTTCCTCGAAGAAGAAAAAGAAAAACCGGGTTTGTGTTAACAGAACAAGGTAGAGACTGGTAGACGATAGTAAAATCGTAAAATCCTAGAATTTTACGATTTCAATCGGGATTTTAGCTACGGCAATGTCCAATATAATTAACAACATACGTATAATTCCTCACCTTCTAAAGCCTCATCATCGGTGATGCTATAATACTCAGCCCTTCCAATATCTTTCAGAAAGCTGTGCTCTGGTCCAACTCCAGGGTAGTCCAGCCTATACAAGCCAACAAAAAAAAATATTTATCCGTCACATATACGTAGGAAAAAATACTTCATTTTTTTAGAAATCGAAAATAACAAAAACATAAGCTAGTACCCAGCACTTATAGAATGTGGCTCGACTATTTGCCCATCTTCATCTTGCAGCAAGTAACTCATAGCTCCGTGCAAAACTCCAACCTCTCCCTTAGTCAAAGTGGCGGCATGCTTACCACTGTCCAATCCGAAACCAGCCGCCTCGACACCGATCAGCCTCACATCTTTGTCGTCAACAAATTCATGGAACAGGCCCATTGCATTCGAGCCTCCACCCACACAGGCGACAAGCACATCAGGTGTGCCGCCCCATTTTTCCAGGGCCTGTTTTCGGGTTTCTTTGCCGATCACTGCGTGAAATTCTCTTACCATCATAGGATATGGATGTGGGCCCGCAACAGATCCGAGGATGTAATGAGTGGATTCCACGTTGGTTACCCAATCTCGTATGGCTTCGGATGTGGCGTCCTTTAGTGTGGCGGTTCCAGAATGAACTGCTCTAACCTATATGTGAAATTAAGAAAGGCTTCAAATGAAGAAGTTGTAGGAAAGAGAATGTGTAGCTGTCCTGGATTAGATTAGTTTGTTAGAATAGAAAAGTAGAAAAGGCCAAGATTCAATCCGACACAATAGCCAGACAGTTTTAGACAGACAAACATGCAATGTTGAATGAACCCACTCTCTTTACATAGAGACGAGAAAAGACCATTAACTAAGAAAGACTTCTTCCCTTAGACTAGGTGGGTGGAAATTGGACGGATTGGATCGGAATTAGCACTTGAAGAAAAATTCCATTTTTTGAAGTGGAAAACTAATTCGAATTCCATTTAGTTACCTATAATACAAAGTACATAACAATATTGGTATTATAAGTGTAATTTTCGAAAGAAAAAAAGTCGGAATTTTTGAAAATATTTTCTGAAATTAAAATTGGATCGAGAATCAGAATGTAATATGCATTCCAATTTCAGTTCTGAAAAAATTGGAAATCGAAACTTTCAAAATCTGGAGTGGAAATTATTGTTCCAGAATCAGAAATTTTCGGATCGGAATTTATGTTCTAACTTCCACCCCTGTCTAAGGCAGGCATACATTTACTAACATAGATAGACAAGAATTACCTAATATAATAGATTCTTAATCCAAGATTAAAACCTAATAATATTCCAACAGAGTCAAAGTCACCACTGAGGCACATGGATCTGGCAACTACTAGCAATTATAAAAACAGATCACAATGTAATGTTTGTTACTTTATTTCACATATTTACTAGCCTATGGTACTCCAATATTATTTCACATAGTATAAAAACGATGCACAAGTTTAAAAAAATTAACAGCCTACACAAAGGCAAAAAGAATATACAGATTAACATAACAATTTACGAGTAAAATATTGGAGAGAAACAAAACCTCAGCACCAAGAAGCCTCATTCGAAAGACATTAAGTGCTTGTCTCTCCATATCTTGAGCACCCATGTAGATAATGCATTCCAAGCCAAACCGAGCACAAACAGTAGCTGTGGCAACACCATGTTGACCAGCTCCAGTTTCAGCGATGATACGCTTCTTACCGAGACGCTTTGCCAGCAACGCTTGGGCGACAGCGTTGTTGATCTTGTGGGCCCCGGTGTGATTGAGGTCCTCCCTTTTGAGGTAAATGTGAGGCCCTTTTCCATCGGGGCGTTTGTAGTGCTCGGTGAGTCGTTCGGCGAAGTACAGTGGGGTTTCTCTTCCTACGTAGTCTTTCAATATCCCATCTAGCTCTTTCTGCAATTAATCCAGAAAAATATTCAATGAAAAAGAACAAAAAAATTACATCTCACAGTGAAATTTCGTAATATCATGAATGCATATATCTTTCCATGTCTTTTATCCACATATTTCATTAGGCTGCATTCTTTAATAAATCAATATATTAATTCGTGAAAATCAAGTAATTATTCAACAAATCCATACCGAAAACCACAAAGGTTCGATTTTTTACATCAAAAAAAAAAAGGGAAAGAAAAATAGAACCTGAAATTCATCGTCAGTGGCAAGCAACTTGAATGCGGCCTCGAGCTCCGTGAGAGCGTGCATCAGCGTTTCGGGGACGTATTTGCCGCCGTATTTCCCGAATCTCCCGAACGAATCGGGCCGCTGCAGAGGCGCCGCCGCTGCCGCCGCCGGATCGAGTTCCTTCTCGACCGCCGTCGCCGCCATTTTGCAAACAATTGGACGGCAGAAGGTTGCTCCGACTCTGTTCAATTTCGGGGAGAGGAGCGAACGCGAACGCGAACGGAGATTTATGGGGAGGTCGGTTTGGGTTCTGCAAATTACGGCGGAAGAAGACGACGATGCAGAGAAGGCCATGTTTGGATTACGAGTTTTTGTGAGAATTGATAAATTGGGGATTTTCTGAATATATCGTTTATTTATGGGAAAATTATAAAATTACTTAATTAGTAAATGGATGGATGACGTTTGTGATTTGGGTTTTGGCCCCCCTATTTATTTATTATTAGGTATTGAGTTCTTTTTTTATTAACATATTATCCACCCTCTACAAAGTGTATTTATTAATGTACTTTTTTATTGTCAAAATTAATTTGATCAATTTTGTTTAGGAACCTCACCAACTTTGAATTTTGTATTATTATTAAAAATTATAATTATAAAACAAAAAAACTGTGGAATGTAGTCTTCAAATGAAAATATATTTTCGGGTAAATTACAGCCACCCTCAGGGATAAAGTTAAATTAATTTAACAGAATCTTCTAGATTCCGTTGTATGTTCTCTAGTTTGTACTCGTTTTGTGCAAAAAACATCAGTTCCTAATGCACTATAATCTGATTTCACAAGTCAAGAGTTACATTTTATGACCATCTTGTTTCAAAACGTGGAGCTCGAGTGGGGTAAAAAGAGTACAAACTGGAGAATATTCCACATAATCTAGTGGATTCTATTAGATTTGACACCGCAGTACGTGTTAAAAAATTCATAGTTGAAGAGTTGTTGTAATTACTCAAAATGAGGGGGGTTTTCGTAATTTAATACCCTTATATTTTTTCATTAGCCATCTAATAGTGATTGGGCCAACAACAAGCCCAATATATTTTCATCTTGACAAAAGCCCGTATAATTAATCGGGCCTAGTTAGTCAAACGGGCCGGCCCACAACTACAACACGAAGTAGCGGCTTCGGCCTTCGAGCATCGCCATCTATTACTCGCCTTTCTCTCTCTACACCTCCACTGAAGCACAGCGGAGCCCTAATCCTCTTCAATTTGTGTTTTTTCTGCTTCTTCTTATCAGGTAATTGCTCGTATATCATTCTCTAGATTTCCGAAGGTCTGAGTTTAAATTATTCAATAATTTGAGATTTTTCTGTTCTGAAATTTCACTTTTTTTTTTTTTTTTTTTTTTTTTTTTGCTTATTCCAGTTATAATTAGGGCAGATAGGATAAATTAGCAGTATTACGAAATTGATTCGCAGATAAATGCAGTAATTTGCCGTTTTATTTCTCACATTCGTGGTCTGAGTTAAGATATGGTTTTGCATTTTGTTATTACATTATCTTCTATTTAAGTAGTCGGTTTTATTCAATGTTTATATCCTTGTGAAATTTCTGTATATTCTGTTCTTATGAATTTATTAAATATTCATAGTTTGTGGTATGATATTTTTTGTTTGATTATTGAGCTGTAGCTACTACTTTTTTTTAGTACAATGTATAAAGCTACCTATAGGTACTGCTAAAATATAGAAATTTTGAAATAATAAAAGGTAATAGAAATATTGGAACTTACGAAAGTGTGTTGGAATTTTGATATGTTTCGGTTTTACCCAGTTATCAGGTCTCGTATCTTTGTTGAGCTTGGGAAGAATGCATACACTTTTCACCATGTTTATTATTTTTATGAATATTTAAGAGTTTCCAATGAATTGTGCCATCCACGTAATTCTTGGTATTTTACTGAAGTGATCTTTATTATTATTCGTTTTGAGATATTATGTGTCTCTTACCTGGGGTTTTACGATATGTTCAGAAAAGTTGTTTGATGCAATAAATCTTAGATGGGGCGCAGCAATTCTAGATCTCCCGTCAGAACCCGTGGATCTCCTCGTAGGAGGAGCCCCTCGAGAAGGGAAAAATCTCCTGCTCGACACAGGAGTTCGAATGCAGAAAAGCCTTCAGCTCGCAATAGATCACCAAAACGTGCTAGGTCAAGGTCTCCTGTAGTTCAGTCACCGGTGAGGGAGAAACCCTACACTCGCACCAAATCTCCAAGACAAAGATCACCCTCTCCAGTCAGACAAAAACCATCAAGTCGAATTAGGGCACCGAAACACGAGAAATCGAGATCCCCACCACCTCTTTCACCTTTGAAAGAGAAGCTATCGTCTCGAACCAGGAGGTCCCCTGATCCGGTGGCATCCAAGTCATTGCCTCCGCCGCCAGAGAAAGGAAAACCGTCAATTCGAAACAGGTCCCCCACAATTGCTAGAGCAAGGTCTCCCGAATCTCAATCTCTTTCACCACGTAGTAAAAGATTGAAACGAGCTAAAGCTGAGCGGGATGCTGAAAAGGGGAGTGAGAGGGAACATGAAAAGAACCACAGAAGGAAGGGTGACAGGGATACACATGAGGAAAAGGATTTGGTCAGAGATTCGGCAGTTGAAAGGCAAGATAGAAGGCCAGTAAGGGATGCAGCTGGCAATGGTTCTACGTCGAGGCATGGACGCTCGGATTCGCCTTCTGATCATCATCACCACAGGGGCCGACAAAGATCAAGATCGCCTCATGCGGCTGATGACAGAGGACGTAATGAGGTGTCTGGTGATATTCACTCCCTATACCTGATTTATATGTTTTTAGAATTTTGTATTTGTTTTGATAATATAACTTGTCTCGATGTGAGAAGCATACAAAATTGATCATGCAGTATCTAGTAACTCTACAGTTTTCTTTTGCTCCTAGAATATATTTATTATTAGTGCTGCACTTGTATTTGATCCCATTGCATGTCTTTAGTTTTTACTTTTGCATTCTTCATATGTCTGGTAATCTTCAAATTTTATCAATAATTTGTTTAACTTTACTCTGGAAAGCGTTTGTAACTTAATTAAAAGGGCATTTTCTGACCATCTCTGTAAATGTATGCAGGTGGCGAACTCAAGAGATTCTGAGCCGCGGTGAGTTACCTTTTGAAATTAGATTCTGGTTACCTGTTGGTTTATGGGAATATCAGTTGTTTTATGCTATAATTGTTCCTGATTGCTAGGATATTTTTCTTTAGACTTTTTATTGGTAAATCAGGAATGTTGTTAAGATCTGACTTACTTTCCCTAGCCGTTCACATTTAGTATTTTTGCTATCTAACCTGGTCTCAATAATACCTTCTATTTATTTTTACACATTGCAAGAGTGCTGTATGCTACCGCTTATATGTTGTTTGACATCTTTTCACTTTGGAACACCCTTTGATTGAGCAGGAATGGTGATGATGATTCAGTGGCTAAGATGAAGGCTGCTGAAGAGACATTGGAAGCAAAGGAGAAGGTACCTCCTTTTTCACGTTGAATTGCTATTGATTTCTATATTTATCCTTTTCGTCTTCACTTTAACTTAAACACTAAAGTAGGGATCAGACTTCTTTGAATAGTCACTAGAGTGTGGCCATTACTTGTATAATATTCGTCACTTCTCTAATGACTGACGCTGCATATGAATGTATTGACTTATTAAGTTTGCATTATGATGTGCAGCAAAAACCTTCATTTGAGCTCTCTGGAAAACTTGCTGCAGAAACTAATCGATTCAGAGGTGAACACTTGTTTCCTTTCACCACACTAATGTGATTTTATCACCCTTTCTTCTTTTGAGGTGTTTCAAGCGTCACGTTCGTTATATTCGAATAGCCTTATTTTATTTCTGGCCATTGTGACTAAATCAGACTTCCATTTCCTAATCTTGATAATTTGCGACGATCTTTATTGTGTTTGAGATTTCCATTGTTGGTTTTAGGATTCTAATTTTTTAGCCATTATTTTATAGCATTACATCCTCCTCTGTGCAAATCTCTTTTGTGACTATGCTCCTCATTATATATGATGGTACTTTCTGAAGTTCCCTTATTTAGGCTTTCTGATACGTGTTGCAATCCATTTGGGTTTCAATCTGATTTAACCTTTAACTTAGCTATTTAATTATTTGGTGATACACCAGCTATATAGCAGTATACTACTGAAAAATATACCTTTTGTGCATGTTTGGTCATTGCAAAAATTACCCTCTTTGATATACATTCTATCTTACATTTCACTATTCTTGCTCTATCTTGCCCATATTACAAACAAACTAGAAACACAATATTGGATGATGTATCCCTAGTTGCAATGCTGCATTTTTGCTAGTTTCTGAATCTAAATTTTTGTTGCATTTCACTATGTGGATCTTTTAAATATTGGTTTGGTACTGTTCTTAATGCACTTTAAGGGTTTATCAGGTGTAACGCTGCTGTTTAATGAACCACCCGATGCTCGAAAACCTGATGTAAGGTGGCGCCTGTATGTTTTCAAGGGTGGTGAAGTTCTTAATGGTAAATCTTCGTTCAACATATTATAGTCTCTAAATTTTATCTCTGTTCATTGTCATTCCTCTATTATTTTCCATATGTTGTGCTGACCAGTGATCGTCAAAACTTTTTACATGCAGAACCTCTTTATGTACACCGTCAAAGTTGCTACCTTTTTGGTAGAGAAAGAAGAGTTGCAGATATCCCTACAGACCACCCATCCTGCAGCAAACAACATGCTGTTCTCCAATACAGGTAGGATCTTCGTCTGAATGTGTTCATATAATTCTTCATTCTTGATCAATTTTGTAATGTATCTAGCATGTACTCATTTTCTCGGCTACTTATTCTATAGGCAAGTGGAAGAGGAAAACCCAGACGGCACCATGTCAAAAAGAGTGAAGTACGACACGATCTATGTTTAAGTCCCATCAGATAGCAATGGAAATTTCACATTATTTAATTCTGACTTATATTCTTTGCAATATGCCAGGCCGTATGTTATGGATCTGGGAAGCACAAACGGCACATTCATTAATGTGAGTGATTTATTGGATTTTGTTTTTGGAAATGCTTCTTATGTGGTTGTCGTAATGGATTTAAACATGAATTTTGCAGTCATAATTTTGACTTGGTATTAATTTTTTATTTTACAGGAAAACCAAATAGAACCTCAGAGGTACTACGAGCTGATGGAAAAAGATACCGTGAAGTTTGGTAACAGCAGGTAAGCCACTTATTAACATCATTGATACGATGATTGGATGCTTGCAGCTCATAAAAACATGCGATGTTTATAGTTGTATTTTGACACAATGCATTTTATGTTGTTTCTATTGCTTTAGCCTTGGAAGTATAAAAAGCCGAACGAAGTTCTTACTATGCAAATTATTTTCCTTAATATTCCAACTTTTTTTCTAAATCTGCAGCCGTGAATACGTTATACTGCACGAGAATTCTGCTGAATGAAGCGGCTACTGAAGAGGAGAGTCGCCTTTTCTTGTATGCCAAGGCACGGTGCAGCGAACAAAATACTAAAAGCTTTATTCCTTAGCAGGTATCTGTTTTTTGGTGTGCTGTTACGCACCTACGTAATTTAGTCTTTTAAAATATCGCTGCAAGTGCAACTCTAATTTGTAAATTAAACAAATTAAATGGATCAAAAATGGGATCTCGTAGGCATCTGAAATCAGAAACGCAGAGTTGGTTTTTCTTCTTTCTCAATTGGTTGTAGCGTAAATTTGAAATTGTGGACAAATTTCAAGGAACGTATTTTGGTACTTTGTATTTGAATGTATTCCGATGGTTATTTGTTGAATACGAACTCTCGAATAACAGAAAATGTGCAAATCGTTGTGCTATTTAGTGGTGTGGCGATAATTAAACACTTTGTAGCGTAATCTAGAAATCGATAATCGGTTCACCGAGAGTCAAGTTTCTGTTGACAGTCCAAGGCAAGCTGAAGAGCTTGGCCATGATAAACTTGAAGATCTTGTTTACGTTTATGTTATGTGTCGAACTCGAAAAGAATAACGTTGCTTTCATTGCTCTTGCATACGTCCTTGCCTGCATTACGTGTGTGCAAAATATAAAAATAGAAACAACTGTTTTCGATATGAATATTTACGATATTGCCATTGGGTTTGTACCTGGGTGATGACTGTCCATTGAATATCGGGTGGAAGTAGTACGAAATCGTCGAATTTGGTCCCTATTAGTATCGGAATCGCTGTCTGCAAATACAGTTTGTCTTTACTTTTGAATGTTTTAATTTAAATATTTTATTTTTATTTTTTATAAGATAATTTTAGAATTATTTCTGCTGTACAACAACTTTATTAAAGAGTGCTACTTTTGAGAAAATAGCAGTGAATTTATTTGGTAAAGATTATTAAAGTAAAACTAAATGACATACCTTATTCCACTTTCTTGCTTCATTGTACCATCCAATTATGCTGCAGTTCCAACATGAAAATATTTCATTTCTTTTAAATTTAAATATCACAAAACCATTGGATAAAGAAAGAAACGAAAATTTCAAATTTGAAACCATCGGAGATTTTTCGATAATATATTAAGCAAATAACATAAATCCTCACGAGTTTAGGGAAAATTTACAACAAACCCCGTGACGCTCGATTTATTGCGTAAAATTCCAATGTAGTTTACTTTTCTTGCACAAAATCAAATTTTGTCGAAACCCCTCTTATGTTTTATATGTTTACTATACGAAATCGCCCTTATATAATAAATTCGATTATTTTGCAACGAAAATGTATATATATTACCTGTTGAGTGTACATCTGCTGGTGAGATCAAACATAAACAAAATTGCCACAGCATCTTTGCAGGCAATTGGGACTTGATCAAATGACCTATTGTCACCTGCATTTTTAATTACTTTGTTGAAAATGCTTTAAATCAAAATTCATGAGTATTTATTATTTTTATTTTTATTTTATTTTCAAGAAAATAGATAAATATATTAAATAATTACAAACCTGCAACATCCCATATTCTGAAAGAAATTCTAGCACCTTGTACACACATTGTTTTATCCATTACATTCAAACCTTTCATCTCCAAACTCATATTCTCTTCTTCATATCCCACATATTTTATCTGCCAAAATTAATTTAATATAATTAATTAACCAACAATTTAATAAATAGGGTAAATTACGGTCACCCCTTGAGATATAGTCAAATTACGAAAACACCCCCGCATATTTTACAATCAACACCCCTCAACTATGTGTCTTCTTACATGTCCACCCTTATGGTGTCAAATTCAACATAATTCTACATTCCGTGGAATGTTCTTTAGTTTGTACTCGTTTTGTGCAAAAAACGCAGTTTCTGATGCACCCACAATCTGATATTCACAAGCCAAAAGACACATAACATATCTTATGATCATCTTGTTTCAAAATGTGGAGCTAGCTTGAATGGCGTAAAACGAGTACAAACTGGAGAATATTTCCACACAATCTAGAAGATTTCACTAAATTTGACACCGTAAGGATGGACGTGTAAGAAAATTCATAGTTAAGGGGGCTGGATATAATTATCCAAACATAATGGGTTTTTTTTGTAATTTGAATATGTAAGAAAAATATTACCAGAAAGCTTGTTTTTCCGGTCTGGCAATCCCCCAGTATACTGATCTTCAACGAGACTAAATCCGAGTCGCTCTCGTATCCGGCGGAGGCGGCGGCGGCGGCGGAATCCATCGGCGCAGAAGAAGAGCTAATTCGTCTGTTGAATAATCTTCTGTACCCGCGGGTATTCTTAGACGTTCTTAATGGACGGCGTGAGAGGATTTTTTCCCAGATGAATCTGAGATACTGCCGGAAAAGTGCGAGTTTTTCCACTATGATCCACCGGAGGTTCAGGTGGACGATTTTCCGGCGGAGCTGCGTCATCTTTCCGGCGGCCTCGTGGAATTTCTGATTTTTAGAGGAAGTGGAGTAATTATATACACGTTTTCTTTAGTGGTGTGTAAGTAAATTAGTTGACTATTTAATGACCAATTTAAAATATTTGCTTTTTTATTTTATTAATAAATATTGCACGACGTCGTTTCTGTTCATATTATATATACACATTTTTTGAATCATTATTTTATTCACGCTTGGTGTGTTATATTATTATTATTATTATTATTATTATTATTATTATTATTATTATTATTATTATTATTACACTTTTAAATCAAATTATTTGATAATCAATTTAAGGATCTTAATTTAAGTTGGTATATCAATATTCAATAGCATTGAAAATCAAATTAAACTGCTCGACACTCGATACTGTCCGTTAAAAGCTCGTTTGAGTTCGATTCGTTAACATACCGAACCAAGCTGGAACACATATTTTCAAGCTACTAGAGTTGGGTACGTGTTCGCCTCGACTCAGTCATGTCATCCCCGTGTTTGTTTTGTATCTTTTTGATATAATCTATAAATCGACTTGATGAAATAAAAAATAATAACATATATGCAAAAATACCTTGACACTCGAATTAAATTCATGTTGAAATAAACTAAAAGTCATCTATACTTGATTTTAGTTATCAATTATCAATTCAAATAGTTCAATTAATAAATATTTTGATTGTATAAAATAAGAAAACATTTAATTTAAAAATGATAGAAGAACAAAACGAGCAGCCCACAAAGTATTTGCCGGCCTTCTTGTTTTGTACATTGGTTGATTAAACAATTTTATTTGCAAAGTTAATTTTTAATTGGATTTTTTTTTTATAAGTAATTTTTAATTGGATTATGATATGGTAAAAATAATATAAAATAATAATAAAAAAATTAAAATTATGATATGATCAAACCTTAGTTTAACATTCGAAATTGGATGAGTTTGGAGGGTGCATAGTTAAATAATTTTATTCATGTATAAGTTAATCACTTAAAAAGAAACTTTTGAATGATGAAAGTAGATCCAGAAACCTAAGGGCACGTTTGGCTAAATTAATTTCAAACAACTGATAAGTTCTTTTATCTGATAAGTTGTTTTAATAGTTGATAAAATGTTACGTCTTATTTTAAGAATTAAATGTTAAATTGCTTGGATAATGAACTTATAATCTATTTTCGCTTATTATAAGATCTTAAATATAAATGGTGAGGTAGAATTACTTCTTAGAAAATATCTTATTTGTTTTCCAACTGCTTATTTTTTGAATTTTTAAGATTTTTTTTTTAAATTACCAAACACTGTGGAAGAGCTTATAAGCTCTTTTTAAGAGCTTATAAGTTCTAGCAAAACAATTTAAATATAAAAACTTTGGGGAAATAAAAAAGAAAAATTATAAGAAAAAAAGCTGCAAGCACCATCACCAAGTCACATAATTACTCCATGCTTTTCAAAAAAGCTCATAATTATTTAAATATTGCACTCTGCTCCTCTTTTTCCCGGCCAAGCATATTCCCAAAATAACAAATTGGTCCCTCAAAAGCATAACCAACAACGGAACGCCTCGATTTCTAAAGAAAAAGAACTACTTCATCCTAATGTAATTGTTTCATTTTATTTTATTCGAAAAAACAAATAGCAAAAAAAAAAAAAAATTGAAATTAATACAACATAAATATGGGGGCAACTATTTTAAATCCCAACTTTTGCTTACTTGAATACTACCAAGTTTAAAACCAAAATTGAGTACATATTTATCAGTTTTTTCTTACTTTAATACCAAAATAAAAAGAAAAGTACAAAAACACCATTTCATACAAAATATCAATTATATCAAATTTTTTTAGAAATTAACTATTCAAAAACCAAATAAAAAAAAAAGAAAAAAAACCCTTTGTTGTAAAAAAAAAAAAAAACCTCCACCATATTTCCTTAAAATATATTTTTTTTCTTTTTCGACACGTTGGTGTCGAAAATTGACCAAAAAATCGACCTGTATGTGTCGAAAATTGCCGGCGGGTTTCAAAAAAAAAAACTTCAAAATCGACTTCGAAGCTCAAAAAAGACATCGATACTTACCTTAATGTGTTCTCCTTTCATATATACTACCATATTATTGTCTTATAAGTCAATTTTATACGTTTTGTGAGGTTTTAATTTCTTTAGTTTTGAGATTTTTTAGAAGGGTTTGTTGTGAGGAAGATTTTTTAGAAGGGTTTTTGGGGAGGGAGAAGAAGGAGGTGGAGAAGGAGGGAAATGGTTTTTTTGAGTTTTTGATTATTTGGTATTTAAGAAAGAAAAATAGTATTTGTAATATTTTTTTGGTTTTAATTTCATTAAGGGTATTAAAGTAATTTACAATTAATTATTTATTTTTTATTTTTTTGTATTCAAGTAAGCAAAAGTTGGGATTTGAAATAGTGATCCCTATAAATATGCGCAATTCGAAATTAAATTGAAATTAATAAAAATATTATCGAATAACAGGAACGCCGGTAGCGAAGCACCACTTCTACCGCCACCCTGACAGCGGCGCCGGCGACTGCAGCCGTATTCCGCCATCCTCGGCGTTACTGCACCGTTAATCTTCACCGTTGGTTTGCCCGAACAAATAATTGTGTGTTTAGTGAGTTTTTCCGTAGATTATTGAACTGGTTATAGTATAATATTTTTTTTGCTAATGTAGTAGATTCAGCATTCGGTTTGAAATTCTTTTACATTTAGTGTCAATAAAATTGGATTCAGTAGGGCAAACTATTTGGTAATTGTGCGTTTTTGCTTCTCTTCTCAACGGGCGCAACCTGTTTGATAGAATGCCTTAGAGAAAGGTAGTCTGGATTAGCAGCCTAATAGAGAGCACTTTGATGATTTATAATGTTTCTTTTGTTGCGGCAGTTGAATACACATGGGTTCGGAGATCGAAACAGTCGAACAGAGATTAAAGTCTTTTACGGCTCAGCTCCAGACAGAATGTGGAATTCTTGAAAGACTTGTGTACAAACACAAGAATCAACATCGAAGATGCTCGTACTTTCAGTATATTCTCAAGGTTTCATGCCCTGCTATATGTACATGCTTGCCTATGAATTTCGTTTTTTAGAGTGCAGCGAGAGGTAGTTTTATTTCGTTCTTTTTTGTTGGATAGGTGAGAAGGGATTTGAAGCTTTTGAAATCAGCAAACTTGGAGGATATCTTGGATACCTCCTTTATTGTGGTCAATGGGAACAGGCCGAAGCAAAAAGTTCAGCTTTTGGAAAGGTATCTTCTTTTAATTCTACGTTAATTTAGTTACCTCTAACGAACTATCCGTTGAAAAAGTCAGAGAAACTCATCATTCATTTGTGGAATCATGAACCACTCTTAGTGATCACTCTAACATTAGAAACTAGACTTTTAGTAGAACAATTTTTTTGGTTAAAGATCAAACACATAATGAGTTCAAATGTGTGGTGGTGACAGTTAAGGAATCTTGATAGATAGTGTTTGGTCATGTTCTTTATCTTTTCCCAGTGAGCATAGCTTTATACATCAGGCCCTGTCATAAAGACATGAATTTAGATGGGAATAATATAAGTTTCTCCGGTATTTGCTATTATCTTTTTGCTGCATGTTTCTCTAAGATCAATTAATATTCTCGCACAAAACTTTCAAGATTGTAATCCATAGGTGGCCTCTTACTTGTATACCAGCTTATTAGACGTCAGTATGTGGTCTCATGTTAAAGTTAATGAGCCAATAGCTTTCTGATGCTCTTTGTGGTGTACGGAGGAAGTTCCAGCTTGATTTTTTTTTTTTTGTTTGATACTATTGGTATTGTCATTTTTATCTTCATTTTTTTTTTGTCTTTGTGATTGCAGTCTGAAGAGGAGAAAATGTGGTGGTGGAAAATATAATTTTTTGGAGAGGCTTTTAGGAGTTATCCGCCTATTGTCGCAGGTGGTTTTTTCTATTCCCCTACAGCTTAACATTTGATTGGGTCAAGCCAGTTTGGTCAAAATTGTCTCACTTGTCATGCTATTGCAGATGGCTGAACCGATGATCAGGGCAGCTATGTATCCTTATAATTTTAAGGTATTTGTATATTTATTTATCTGTAGGATTATCTCTCGACATGATTGCATATTTTCTTTTCCATTAGAAGACATATAGTTCTTATAGAACTGCATGTGTCCACAAGATTTAGAGATACCGTTTCTGTGTATTAATATTTTATTTGTGATTGTGATTGTTTTTCTACCTCTGTAGTTTAATTCCTCAGTCTTATATTTTACAATCAGAACTTAACATTTTCTTGATCATCTACAATTATCATTTCCAGCTGCAGATCAGTAGTTCTTGTATTGATTTCATTGTTTCCATATATAGTTCATTGCCATCAATTGTCTACAGGAACTTGTTATTCGGCGCATACGTATTCCCAGTTGTTGATTTAGATAACATTGAACTCAAAAAATATACACCAATATTTTCCCTTAACAATTGCAAAGGGAGATATCAACGCTACTTGCTCGGTCGTTTTTCATGAAATTTTCACTGACGACATTGGCTGTGATTGCACGCATTCGAGTACTGGTTCAGCAAGTAAGCAATGTTGTTTTTCAGACAGTTAATAACTGAAATTGCTGTTTCAGACCTTATCTCACGATCTGTCATTTTTTTTTATCAGTATCAACATCTTTATTTGGTCTATATTTCACGATCTGTCATTTTTATCAGACAGTTCTTTTTCACATTTCGTTTCCTTATTACCCTTATTTAATTTATTACTAGGGTTCGTTTTTTTTACTCTGAAGATTAAATATGTAACGAAAGCTCTAAGAAAATATAATGTGCTTTTCATTTGTTTGTAATTTCTTTATCTGCAGATACTTCTTGATGCGGTTCTTCTGTACAATACTGTCTCATCACTTTCTCAAAAGGAACAGACTGTAAAATTAAATCAAGAAGGTTTCGAGGTTAGTATACTATTTACATGCACGAATTGATCCCCAACTCTTCGTTGCTTATTTTTTCTGCAGTTTTACTTATACGAAGCCCTTCTTTATTCGCTCAAATTGCAGGTTTTTAGAGAATACTATCCAATAAAGGAGGAAGCTACTACAATGCTAGAATGCATTTGGCAGACAGATAAGTATATCTTAGTTGAGAAGACGTATAAAAGTGAGATCAGTAATCAAGAAAATGACCGCGAAGATGTCTCGCTGAGCGCACCGAAAATTCAATACGAAAACATCGAGGCTTTACTCGGAGGTAATAACCTCAAATAATTTGTTGCAGAAATGCTTTTGAAATTATAGCTTAGAACATCTTATTTTAAGAGAAGCAAAAGCAAAAGTTGCATTCCAACAACACCAAAAAATAGATTATGATCTCCCAAAAAGCTCGTAATCCCTTTTTTTCTCTAAAAGCTCTTACTAAAACCACATTAGTCTATGCCCTGGTTTGGATTTAATTGTCTTATAACATTGTGTAGTTGATGAATCGAGTACAATGGCAGCCGGTTCTGGTTCAGCAGATCCAAAAAAGGTTGAAGAAAATGTTGGTGATTTCGGTGTGAACAAAGACAAAAAGCATGTTGAAGTCGACTTAAATTCAGCTTTAGCTTCTTCAACTGCAAATATAGTTTCGTTAGAAGAGTCAACTGCTACTAATTCATCAGAAGGAATGATTCTTGAGTCAGATAGTGAAAAGCTGGTCGATGAAAAAAGCACGAGTCCTTCACCGAAAGCTGCTAAACTAAGAAACGGGACAAAGAATAAGGTGGCGTTTGTGTCTGTTAAACCGCCAGCTCCTCCATCAACGGCAAATCAATCGACTTTCAGTGTAAAGAATGGGGTGGATAATCAAGAAGAAGATTCCTTTTTCAATCTCCTTACTGGTGGAAGTAAGAAGAGGAGTCTCTTTTAACTAATACTGATTCTTTTTTTTTTTTTTTTTTTGTTTATAAGACGGTCTTCAACTAAAGGTGTAAACGAAATGAGTAGAGGCGGACTCGGATTCATAAGCAATTTAGTCGAGTCCGAACGAGCTTTCGTTGAGCTCTAATACTATGTTCTTTATACACATTTTAGAATTATTTTGCTAATCCGGATTGAGCTCGACCTGGATTCGTAATATATTTAACGAAAATATATTTTCAAGTTTAGTGAATCTACCTCAATTTAGTTTTTAATTGTCTATTTTAAATCGAGTACGAGTTAGTTTGATTTTCAATATTATTTACAATACACAAAGAAATAGGGATCATTAATTTTTTTTTACCACAATTAAAACTAATTAATTTATAAATAAATTTCTGTGCATAGTTTTAACAGCAAAAATCAGAGTGGCGCAGCGGAAGCGTGGTGGGCCCATAACCCACAGGTCCCAGGATCGAAACCTGGCTCTGATATGTATTTCAGAAGCAAGCTTCTAAAATTACTATATCCACTCTATTTTTTGCCTTTTCCACACCTTTTTTATTTTTCCTTTTTTATTTTTCTATTTTGTAATCACTATAGCCACTCTACTTTTTGCTTTTTCCACACCTTTTTTATTTTTCTATTTTGTGATGTATTATTACAAAATACATTACAATTTGTATATTTATGGATGAAAATCGGATGATCCGATTGAAAATTTTGTTATGGATTATTTTATTTTTGCAAAATTCGATTTCAATTTCGATAATTGAATATTTATTCCAATTTCAGATATTTCGAACATATATTAGTTCTATGTTTCACCAAATTTTGAAAAAAAAATACTTCCCAATTAAAATAAGAAAATCGAAGTTTAAAAAAAAAAGGGCTTGTTCCAAAATCGATTTTGTTTTATCCCCAATCGACATAATTCAAAATTTTCCTTTCAATTTCCACCACTAGTCCGTATGTGTGCGCGCGTGTTTCTTCACTTTCTTTACATTTATAATGCAAGATTATCACAGTTCTCAAAATTAAATTAAATTAAGTTATAGTTGTACACAAGATTATATCAACATTAAATTAGTTTTTTTTTTAAGATACAAATTACAGAATTTTTAATTATTTACTTCATGATATAAAAGTAGTACACACAATCAATGACAAATATGAGTTCACATGATGAAGCACAACAATGTCACATGTTTCCCATGACTCCCATTCAACACAAGTGAAATTAACTCATAATTCATTTTTTCATTCTTTTTTAATTTCAGTCACATAATTCTTTTAAAAATGATAAAGCTTATTAAATATTATTTTCACTAAGTGGCTAATTATGAGATGTTTATAGGCTCAGTAATTATCATTTATCAGCAGCATAAAACAGTTGCATAAAGTCATGAAATAAACTGCATTCATATTCAGTTTACATAATTACACCTACTTAAATTTGATTCAACTGCATGCACATGTATTCACTCTATATATATATATATATATATATATATATATATATATACATGAAGAAAAACACAAAGAAAACAATACCAAGTCTCAAAATGCCTCAAATTCTAAGCAAGTCGAGGCATAATACGGTGCCATCGACTCAAAGTTTCGGCTCGGATCTATCGGCTAAACTAGCCATAACATCAAATAATAATCCAGTAGCAATTGGAACCAGGGGTACCGTTGGATCACTAATCACGCAAGAGATTGATTATTTTATCCAGCTCGAGTTGGATAATCGAAGCAGCGCCTCCAACAAGACTTATAATCAACTCGCTACAGACGTTTCTTCGAAATCCGAGAAAAAGAAGAGCAAGAAAAAAAGGTACATACCGAGTATGTGTTCTAAGGTAGAAGTATCCGAAAGAAATCTCCCGAATTCCTCCACGAGTCGATTTACTTACAAGAATCTCAAAAAGCCTTACACGATGCTGTGAGACAGCTTTGAAAACCCGAGCTTCTTTAGCCGGTGCTTGATTGGATTCACCCACTTCTTGTCCGAACTCCCGCATTTGATGTCGACGATTTCGACTATACCAGGACCCTTTTTGATGGGCTTTTTTTGTCTTATAGGAGTTCCGTCTGTCGATATTGTATCATCGGATTTGAGCATCGGAATTTGAGTAGTGGTTCGAGTGTGGTTCTTTGTTGTCCTTTTGGTATTTTCCGGGAGTTTATGATTGTTGAAACTGCTTGTGCTGCTGCTTGCTTCGTCAACCGAAGGCACATTTGCTGATGTGGATTTCGCGGAATCTAATTCTCTCGACATTAACGCACTCACTGTACCAATTGTACCTAGTTTAATCGATCCCCCACCACCCCTTATAGCTTCTAACGTCTGAGCCATCGTGTTTTGGTGATGTCTAGATACTGTAAGAAATTCTGTATACTACGAGTTTATTTCAAGGCTCGATCAGTTCGAGATCCTGCACGAGAGCATCATCGAGCATTGTAATAAGACTTAAGTCAAACATAGCATATCTTAATTCAGAACATTACTCCATGCATTCTTACTTAACTAAATAAACGAGCTATTTCTACTCCAAACATCAACGATCGAGGTTAGAAAGCTAAATAACATGTGAAAAAAAGCCAATCTTTCTACAAACAAGTGGAAAAATACATAATTTTTTACGATCAAAATCACATGAAACACGATAAATTCTTTCCAAATCGCCTCGGAGTCCAGTAGCGGAGCCAGGATTTAAAGTCCGCGGGGGCCGGATGCATTAAAAAAAAATCCGAGGGGTCCCATTAATGCAGTTATGCACAATTTTATTTTTTATATTTCTATATAAAATAATAGGGTTTTGAGAAATGAAGGGGGGCTATGGCCCCCCTTGGCCCTATGCTTGCTCCGCCACCGCCTCCGACCTATTTAATTTCAATTGAACTGCCACATATATAATTTTACCCTCAAAGAAATTTAATTTCACCCTTAAACCAGCCTAAAATCCCCAATCCTCCTAGAAATAAATATGAAAAATTCAACAATCAAGAGAAAAAAAAAAAAAAAAAAAACACAAACACAAACTCTAGACAGGAAAATTGAGCGCGAAATCATGAATGATCGAGTAATCGGCAAAGAATTTAGCATGAATCACATCGACAGAATGATTGAGAGCTGAAATTTACCATCTTTGATCCAAAAACGTTCGACGGATAACGAAAAATGAGGAGCGAAAAATCAAATTGCAGAAAGCCCACCGCGCAGATTTGAAGTCTTCAACTCTGACCTAAGAACCTGCAAATTGGATATTTTCAGATCTTTTAGATTTAATTTAAATGGAATCAAATAAATTGTTGGAAACCATCAGCAGAGCTCACAGATCATGTGAGAGAAAATGGCAACGGTCATTTCTAGAGAGAGAGGGAGTCAATTTGTTTATGTATTGAAATTTACTTGTAGGTAAATTACTCCTGCACCCTGATGTATGCTAAAATAATTTTAAAGTTCCTATGGTATTGGTAGTTACAGCCATACTCCTGAAACATTATTTTTGTTTCCGGCGGGGTTGTTAATGCTATCATAGACGAAAATTTATATAAAATAATAAGAATTTAAGAAATGTTAGGAGAATCATATCACCCCCTAACTCTATGTTGTCTCCACCACTGTCTGAAACTAATTGTCTGTTAGAACCCTAACGGAATAACTTATCCAATGCATTATATGTTAGTGTTTCAAACAATATTTCAGAGGGAGTGATTGTAATTACCGATACTACAAAGACATTAAAGTTATTTTAACATACTTCAGGGATATAGATGTAATTTACCCTTGTATATATTATTTTGGGTTTTGATTGAAAGAAATGCTGTGCACATCGTCTCTCATTAGTCATTTCTGAGATAAAAAGAAACTAGGTCCTAATATCGAGTACTGACAGCCGCAATGTAGAATTTACAACTCCAATGAAGATTGGTTTTTTGTGGACGCCACCTAATATACCATTGAGTTACCATGATTTACATTTTTCTATCAATAATTTGTCGGACCAATGAATGAGGGACCTTGGGGACGATTTTGCCTCTATGGTGCAAGATAAAAAGAAAAAAGGAAAGAAGAAAAAAAATAATAGAAAGCATGTGATTGTATTTGCCCATATTAAGGATAAGGATGACCCAAATTGATCATTAAAAGGTCTAAAATGAGTGGAAATGCTATTGGGCCAAAGCAAGTAAATGGACCCAAGGAGTCGAGTAATAATCGGATGTTGGTGTAAAGAACGGAAGGATCAGATCGAAATTAACAATTTAAAAAAATGGAAATGAGAACTTATTTCAATTTCGTTCCAAGAAAAATTGGAATGAAAAACTTATTCCCGTAATCTGTCAATTTCCGATCTAACTCGACAAAATTCAATAGTTGTGGTCATGTACAAAATGTAATCCCGATATTATAAATACGATTTTGCTGATTGAATATATTATAAATACGATTTTGCTGTTTTTCAATCGGAATAATTCCGATTTGTTTCATTAATTAATACACATTAATGTTTGACTAGATTTGCATTTGAGACTGTCGAAGCTCGGTTCATATGGCCCGACTTTCGTCCCCAAGTATTCGAAAACAACAATTACTATAAAACACTTAGGAATGAGAAAATTGGGGTGAAGACAAAATAGCATGTGCATTTCTCCTATTAATAAATGGCCCACGTTATTCTATACTGCAAATGGCAGTGTTATTATATTTTTTTTTATTACTATATAATTATTATATTTATTTATTACTGTAAAATTATTATATTTATTACTACTAATTATTATATTTAATAAACATTAATTTACACTACTGATACCAACCCTCATTAGGAGAGTTGGTACCTAGCCTTTACCAATAGGGTAACGGTCTAGGGTTCGAGTCCCCCCTCCCCTACTTCCCCTTGTAATTGACTTGAATTTACTTAAAAAAAAAAAAAAAAAAAAAAAAAAAAACTTACACTACTGATGCAATCGGCCTCTCACGTTAGCATCCAATGCAAAAATAAATAAACTAATTAATAACCGTTAGTTTAACTTCGTAACCCTAAATTTTTAATAAATTACCAAATACACCCTTGCTTATTATTCATTGCACAGCCTTCACTCAATCATAAAGTTTGATTTTCTTTTTGACTTTTTTGGTATTCACCCCCTACAAAGGATGTTAACGTACAAAAAATCTACAAATTTCAAGAGGTGAATATAATCATGGAACAATGAGGTTTTTTTTCGTAAACAGACCTTGCCTCGGGGTAATGGTTGCAACTTACCCAATGTTTTATATTGTCCATATTCTTATTTTATTTTCTGTGGAGCATGAAATTTTTGAATTATAGTATTTTCTGTGGACCATGGACATAAAAGTCATAAAAATATGGGCAAATTACGGCCACTACTGAGGTATGGCCAAATTACGAAAAAACCCTCTTATTTGGGTAATTACGACCACCCCCTCCTTTTAAATATTTTACGTAAAATTTATGTAATTCGGTTATTTACCGAACCAAATCGTATATTTAGTTCAGTAGATGGTATGAAATGTTGAAGTACCGAATTAACATCCCTAAATTTACCTCTAGAGGGGTCTGTTCGTAAGATAATACATAATTGAGGGGTGGCTGTAATTACCCAAACATAAGAAGTAGGTTTTCGTAATTTGACCATAACTCAGGGGTGGCCGTAATTTGCATTATAAATAAAGAAAACTAAAAATATGAGGGGTACATTTGTAAACAACAATAAGAATTTAGTTCAAATTCCGTTCCAAATATATTATTACCGGCAACTAAAGGGGCATACGATGTAAATAAACCCTAAATTACAAATCGAGATAAACTGATTATTTTCAAATTCTTTAATTTTTTTTTGTTAATTCGAAATTCTTGGAACAGAAAACACAGATCTCACTTCCCTTTCCAACTCAGCTCACAATTTTGCTTCCGTTTTCAGTAAACCCCAATTCCTCCATTGATTTTCATATCCGATAATCCCCATTTTACCTTCAGAAATCCAATTCAAAATTCATCGCATTGTTCGCAAATTTCAAAATCCAATTTTTTCGATTGCATTCGCATCGCCGATTAATTCAGTTCAGCAAGAAGAAGAAAAGAGAAGAAATTGAAAATGGGTTCACAGAGATCTGCAAAACCCTCAAAACCCCCAAATCAAGCAGCAGCAGCGCCATCGAGGTCGGTTTCCGCCCCCTCGCCATCTTCTCTCTCATCCCACTTAGCAATGGTGGAACTGAAGCAGCGGATACTCACTTCCCTCTCCAAACTCGCCGACCGCGACACCCACCAGATCGCCGTCGAGGACCTCGAGAAGATCATCCAATCGCTATCGAACGACGGCGTTTCGATGCTCCTCAACTGCCTGTACGACGCCGTCAGCGACCCGAAGCCGTCGCTGAAGAAGGAGGGGGTCCGCCTCCTCTCGTCCCTCTGCACCGCCCACACCGACCCCGCCGCCACCCACCTCACCAAGATCATCGCCCACATTGTCAGGCGGCTCAAGGACTCCGATTCGCTCGTCAGGGATGCGTGCCGGGACGCCATTGGCTCGCTCGCCGGGCTGTACTTGAAGGGCGGCAGCGGCGGGGATGGTGTGGTGTCGCTGTTCGTGAAGCCCCTGTTTGAGGTGATGAGTGAGAACAACAAGGCGGCGCAAGGCGGGGCCGCCTTGTGCTTGGCGAAGATGGTGGAATGTGCCTCTGATCCGCCTTTGGTTACTTTTCAGAAGCTCTGCACTAGGGTTTGCAAGGTTTTGAATAGCCCCAATTTCATGGCGAAGGCTTCGTTGTTGCAGGTTGTTTCGAGTTTGGCTCAGGTTTGTCCTCAAATCCATATTCTTTGTTGTTTGATTTTCTGGATGAGTTGAATTGTGCTGAGTCTTCACATGGGCGCGTAAATTCCATAAGGG